TATTTTTTTTTTCAACGTTTATTTATTTTTGGGACAGAGAGAGACAGAGCATGAACGGGGGAGGGGCAGAGAGAGGGAGACACAGAATCAGAAACAGGCTCCAGGCTCTGAGCCATCAGCCCAGAGCCTGACGCGGGGCTCGAACTCACGGACCGCGAGATCGCGACCTGTCTGAAGTCGGACGCTTAACCGACTGCGCCACCCAGGCGCCCCATCCTGAGTTGTTAATTTTAGACACTCTGGTGGGAGGTGGTATCTCAATGTGGTTTTGATTTGTATATCCCTGATGATGAGCAATGTTGGACATCTTTTCGTGTGTTTATTTGCCATTTGGATGTCTTCTTTGGAAAAGTATCTATTCATTTTTTCTGCCCTTTTTTTGTGTTTCAGATGTTCAGTTTGGTAAGTTCTTTATAGGTTTTTGATACTAACACTTTATCTGGTATGCCATTTGGAAATACCTTCCCCCTTTCCATTGGTTGCCTTTTAGTTTTATTGATTGTTTCCCTTGCTGTGCAGAAGCTTTTTATCTTGATGAGGTCCCAATAGTTCATTTTTGCTTTTATTTCCTTGCCTTTTGAGACATGTCAAGTAAGAAGTTGCTGCCGCCAAAGTAAAAAAGGCTCCTGCTTGTTTTCTCTTGCAGGATTTTGATGGTTTCCTATCTCACATTTAGGATTTTCATCCATTTTTAGTTTATTTTTGTGTATGGTATAAGAAAGTGGTCCAGTTTCATACCTCTGCATGTTGCTATCCACTTTTCCCAATTTGTTTTCCTAAAGAGACTGTCTTCTTTCCATTGGATACTCTTCCCTGCTTTTTTGAAGACTAATTAGCCATATATGTGTGGGTCCATTTCTCGGTTCTCTATTCTATGCCATTAGTCTATGTGTCTGTTTTTGTGCCAACACCATATTGTCTTGATGATGACAGCTTTGTAATACAAGCTAAAGTCCGGGATTGTGATGCCTCCAGCTTTAGTTTTCTTTTTCAACATTTCTTTGGCTATTCAGGATCTTTTGTGGTTCCATACAAATTTTAGGATTGTTTGTTCTAGCTCTCTGGAGAGTGCTGGTGCTATTTTGATTGAAATTGCTAGAATGTGTAGATTGCTTTGGGTAGTATCAAATTTTAACAATATTTGTTCTTCTGATTCCTGAGCATGGAATGTTTTTCCATTTCAATGTGTCTTCTTCAACTTCTTTCATAAGCTTTCTGGTTTGGTTTTTTTTTTTTTTTTTTTTTTTTTTTTTTAAATTTTTTTAATATTTTTTTTGTTTTTTTTTTTTTTTTTTTTTTTTTTTTTTTCAGTGTGCAGATCTTTTACCTCTTTGGTTAGGTTTATTCCTAGGTATTTTATCATTCTTGTTGCATTTGTGAATGGGTTCAATTCCTTGATATCTCTTTCTCTTGCTTCATTATTGGTATATAGAATGCAACCAATTTCTGTACATTAATTTTGTATCCTGTGATTGTGCTGAATTCATGTATCAGCTCTAGCATTTTTTTGGTGGGGTCTTGTGGGTTTTGCTTGTAGACTATCATGTCATCCACGAAGAGTGAACGTTTCACTTCTCTACCAATTTGAATCCCTTTTATTTCATTTTGTTGTCTGATTGCTGAGGCTAGCGATTCCAACACTATGTTAAACAACAGTGGTGAGAGTGGACATCCCTGGCGTATTCTTGATCTCCGGGGGAAAGCTCTCTGTTTTTCCCCATTGAGGATGATATTTACTGTGGGCATTTCATGTATAGCTTTTATGACGTTAGAGTATGTTCCTTCTATCCCAACTTCCTTGAAGGTTTTTATTAAGAAAATGCTTTTTCTGCATCTATTGACGGGATCATATGGTTCTTATCCTTCTTCTTTTAAGGTAATATATCAAGTTGATTGAATTGCAAAAATTGAACCAGCCCTGCAGCCTAGGATGAGTCCCACTTGATCATGTTGAATGATTCTTTTAATATACTGTTAAATTTGGTTTGCTAGTGTCTTGTTGAGAATTTTTGTACCCATGTTCATCAGTACCATGTTCAGTACCATGATCAGTACCATGTTCATCAGATATTGGCCTGTAATTCTCCTTTTTAGTGGGTTCTTGTCAGTTTTGGAAATCAAAGTAATGCTGGCTTCGTATAATGATCCTGATCCTGAAAGCTTTTCTTTCATTTTATTTTTTGGAACAGCTTGAGAAGAATAGGTATTTAAGTGTCTGGTAGACTTCTCCTGGGAAGCCATCTGCCCTAGGACTCTTATTTGTTGGGCGATTTTTGATTACTGAGTCAATATCTTCTCTGCTTATGGTTTGTTCAAATTTTCTATTTCTTCCCTTTTGAGTTTTGGTAGTGTGTGTGTGTCTATTACTCTTATGTGTCTACCCTTTTAGGTTAAGGCCCATTTGTCCCTAGAGGTGTTCAGAATTCTCTTTTTGTCTTTGTATTTTGCCAGTTTCACTATGATATATCTTGGTGTTGACCTGTTTTTGTTGATTTTGAAGGGAGTTCTCTGTGCCTCTTGGACCTGGATGCCTATTTCCTTTTCCAGATTAGGGAAGTTCTTAGCTGTGATTTGTTCAAATAAAATTTCTGCCCTTTTTCTCTCATTTCTTCTTCTAGAACTCCTAATGATATAGATATTATTTCGTTTCATTGAATCACTTAGGTCTCTTATTGCCCTTTGTGGTCTAGTAATTTCCTTTCCATATCTCATTTGTAGCATTTCTTAAATCATTGTGTCTATTTCTTAGGTCTTTAATCCCTGCAGCAATAGATTCTCTGCTGTTGTCTATGCTTTTTTCAAGCCCAGATATTAGTTGTATGACTGGTATTCTAAATTCTTGTTCAGATGTATTGTTTATATCTGGTTTGAGCAATTCCCTGGCTGTCTTCCTTTAATTTCTTTTCAGGAGAATTCTGTTTCATCACTTTTGCCAGGTTTGTGTCTCTTATGTGTTTTAATGGTTTGTTATCTGTCCTGCACCAACGAGAACTACTATATTAAAAAGGGGTCATACACTGGCCCAGGGCCTGGCCTTTCTGGAAGTGTTTTTAGAGTGTGTTGCGTGCACTCTATTGTTGCGTCTTTGGCTGCTCTACCCCACTCGTCTGTCTTCTACAAAGCTTCTCCTTAGTCATACTGGTAGAATGTTTAGACCATTGTTAGACAAATCAAAGAAACTATAAGGGTTAATCCAGTGAGAGCACAAGGAAAATAAAGATGGAGATATAGAAAAGGTGTAAAAATAATAGAATAAAAATGCCTGATTAAACAGACACAGAAACAGAGAAAGCAAAAAAAAGAAAAAATACATATATATAATATATATATATTTTATAATATATGTAATTTGTATTTATTAATTTATTATTTATTATTATATTGTTAATTTATTATTATTTATTATTAATTTATTAATATGTAACATAAATATATTTTTATATGTATAAAACACGTGTTATATATGTATATATATTGACAAAAAATCAAATCAGAAAGTTTAAGCCTGATTCCAGAGTAAAAAATGAAGAGGTAGAAAGAAAAATATAGAAAAGAGTAGAGAAGGGAAAAAAAAAAGAAAAGAAAATGGCAACACAGTAATATATAATACCACAGGATAGTTGTCTGTTTGTATGTGGGACAGGTGACTGTGCTGGTCTGGAGGAGAGGCCCTCTGGTTCACCCAGTATCAGTCCCACGCCATTAGATAAGTAGTTGCCATCCACTGAGGGTTGAGATTTTGTGTAAGTGGGTCAGCCTCCACAAGGGGCCACTATTCTGTTCCCTGAAGCCGCACCATGCTGGTGATGGGGAGAAAAATGGCAACACCCAAATCTCTCCTCCCCGGACTGGGTGTCTTAAACCATGCTGTTTAGGCAGCCCTCACAACGTAGCTCAGGCAGGTGTTTTGCCCTGTCCCACAGTTCCCCCATGCCTCTTAGGTGCTAGGCTGGGATTCAAAACCTGGTGTCTTAAAGGACCCAGCACCAGTTCTAGGATAGTGCTGCCCCACCCTGCCCATATGGCAGGCACATGCAGGGTCTTTTAACCTTGGGGAGGCAATATACACTCTTCCACAGTACTCAAGGGAGGGGACTATTCTCCCCACTGTGCCCCTGAGATGGGATACTACACTGGGGCTGGCTCCCCTCCCCACAAGTGCATGCACGTGGAAGCAGATTTCTTCCATAGGATGGCACACACTTTTGAAAACTGCAGTCTTCAGCTCCTAAGGCTGTTCACAAAGTACGCTAGCAATCTCCCTAGATTTCTCATTTCTAGTCCGTGGTCTGGAAGGGTTTTCCTCTTGTCCTAACACAATACCACAATCCACAGTTTCTCTCTCTCCTTTTTGTCTCTCCACAGAGGGGGAACCCTTCCCTCCGGGCCCATAATGTTTTATCTCCCCCAATTCGCATAGACACACCTCTGTCCCGTCAAGCTGTCTCCCTCCACCTGTGCAGATTTTTCTGTCACTCTGCAGATAGATTTCCTGGGTGTTCCAGGTGTTCTGACCTCAATACAGCTGTTTGAGGGACGAGGGAAATCTTTGTCCCTCTACTTCTCCACCATCTTAACTCCTAATTGATACACTTTGAAACACCTAATAGGTGGATAACCAAAGTTGTTCTGAAATCAGACCACCAGGGTTCAAATCTCGCCTTTACAATTTTACAGCAATGTATTTAAGTTCTTTAAAACTTAATTCCTGCAAATCCAAACACTGAAGTTTGCCCAAGGTAGAATGATTGTTAAATGACACTCATATTTATGTATCATGATGAAATTCATCCAAGGATAAAGGGAAAAGAATCTAACTCTTCAAAAAGCAGTGGAGAAAAATACTAGAAGATAACTTAAAAGGAATAAGACTAAATGAACACTTGATCTCAATATTGAAAGCTTCAAAAATGTGGTGGAAAAAATCTGAAATTTATAACTTTTCTTGTCCTAGAAAACCTGATGCAATTAATGAAATAATGCTAATAAGAGGATAGAATTCACCCATGAAACAATTCATTTTCGATTTGATTTTTTATTAAGGCAAAACATTATTTATAATGGTTTTGTTTGTTTTGTTTTTCTTCCAAGGGAATCGTTGTGATTTTCCACAAATAAAACATGGTAGTCTATACTATGAAATTATCTATAAACGAGACTTTCCAGTACGTGTAGGAAAAAAATATTGGTATTCCTGTAAGACCAATTTTGTGACTGCTTCACAAGAGCCCTGGGAATATATTCATTGCACAAAAGAAGGATGGTCACCAGCAGTACCATGCCGCAGTAAGTCAACTGTTATAATTGTATATGTATAAATAGTTCACATCCTGGAGGGAGCAGACATGTAAGTGAGTACAATTAAGACTACTATGACAAAAAGGCGACCAAGGGATGAATTTTATGAGCAAAAATACCAACATGAGGTTTTCCTTTTATGAGGAGCTCTTCCTAAAATCTTATTAGAGATAAAGTTAGAGGTTTTTTGAAAATACCGATATCATTTACCCATACCTTAATTATAAATACTGAAAGTAAATAGTATTGACTATTGATTTTTTTCTTTTTCAACATTTGGTATTAGCTTTATTTTTGGATACTTATGCATTATAGTTTAAATGTTGTACAAATAATTTTTTTTTAACGTTTATTTATTTTTGAGACAGAGAGAGACAGAGCATGAACGGGGGAGGGGCAGAGAGAGAGGGAGACACAGAATCGGAAGCAGGCTCCAGGCTCTGAGCCATCAGCCCAGAGCCCGACGCGGGGCTCGAACCCATGGACCGCGAGATCGTGACCTGGCTGAAGTCGGCCGCCCAACCAACTGAGCCACCCAGGCGCCCCTACAAATAATTTTTAATTTGCTATTTTCACTGAATTTATGGGTTTAAAAATTTTTTGTTTATTATTTTTATGATTTTTAGGACAATGTATTTTCAATCATTTGAAAAATGGAGATAACCCAAAACGAGGAGTAAAATACGTACAAGGTGAATCTGTAAGAGTTAACTGCCATGCTGGCTACAGTCTTCAAAATGAGCAGACTGTGATGACCTGTACAGAAAGTGGCTGGTTCCCTCCTCCCGAGTGCATTCTTCTCAGTAAGTAAATGGTCTCAGATCTCAGTATATTTATGGTTTTCTAACCATCATCTATATTAACTGTGACAAAATATTTATATCAACTTCCTTATTTCCACCAATGAATCTACTTAGTTTTATTTTTTCCAAGAGTGTGTGAGTGGATATACACATTTTTGATACATATATATAGCAAAATAAATGTCTAATGATAGGCATTAGTCAAGAAAGCAGTAATAGAACTACAAAGAAGTAACCTGTATTAATAGGGTGACACCAGCAATGGAAGGAGGAAGATGTGACAGAGTAGGGGGATCCTAGGCTTGCCTCATCCCATAAGGATAACTATCAAATCATCCTAAATACCCCCGAGATTGACCTGAAGACTGGCAGAACAGATTCCACAATTAAAGGTACAAAACAGGCCACATTGAAGAAGTAAGATGTACAGAGATGCAGGTTTCTCTCCCAAACTGAGAAGAAATGGACTGTGGCCACTGAGGTGGTAAGGGAGTAGTGGTCACAGAGAGGGTGAAAGACAGACTGACACACAGAGGAACACACAGGAAAAACAAATCCCCATAGAAATTAGCTTGGAAAGGGAGAGGGGACAAATTTTGTGAGTTCCTGCAACCAGTGAGGCTTAAAGCCTGGGGTTTGAAAGGTCAGTGTGCTTGGGTCTGGAAGAGATCAAAGGGCATTGGGACTGCTCTTGGAGATAAGGCAAGCAAAGAGCCTGTGGACATACAGCATGGAAACAGCAATCTGATGAGCACTTGGAGCACACAGTGGGGAGGTTATTTGCTCATCCTGGAGCATGTTGCAGAAAGGGAGCATTCACAGAGACCCCTCTGAAAACAAAGGAACTGGCAGGTGCCATTTCCCTCTCCCGCCCTTCAACATTAACACAGGGTCAACTGTGGGAACCAGCACAGGGCTCACACTTGCTATCTTACTTGCTTACACCAAGCCCTATGTCCCTATGCTCTGGTGGAACCACCCTTCCCGGTCACACTTGCCTCAGTCCCAGAGCAGGCAGCCCCCAACCACAAAAGACCAGATCAAATCCCAGCCCAAACTGCATCTCCCAACTTGGGAGGTTTTTTGTTTGTTTGTTTGTTTTGTTTGTTTGTTTTTGGCAGGGGGCAGGGAGGTGGGGCTGGATTCCAGCAGCAATGTTGAGAAGTCTCATTTCACAAGCAGACCAGAATACACCAAGTTAAAACTTACCACATTCAGGCAAGGAACCAAACACTGCCCACAACAGGCAAAGAGAGCCTCTGCAGATGAGTGACCGGAAAGATAAAGCAGTCAGGACACAACAGCAGTGTGCACATAGCATACTTTGGAGACACTCCCTGAAGTGCCAGGCCCTGGGGAAATGGGGTCACAACACCTCAGGGCATGACAGAACCTCTTTTTCATAAGGCCATTACCCTCAGGAACAGGAGAAGTAGCTGACTTTTTTAACACAGAAAAGTAAGCCAAGAAACTTAGACAAAATGAGAAAACAGAAGAAATTGTCCCAAATGCAAGAACAGTGCAATGCCACAGCCATGGATCTAAGTGAAACAGATATTAGTAAAATACCTAATAGAGAATTTAATGTAACAAATCTAAAGATACTAGACTTAAGAAAAAAAAATCCAAGACATGGGTGAAACCCTTAATACAGAGATAAGGAATAACACAGCAGAGATAAAGGGCTCAATAAACAAAATCAGAAACACACTTGGTGGCATGAACAGCAGGCTGGAAGAAGGAGAGGAACAACATAATGGCCTAGAAGACAAAGCAACGGAAAGTTATCAAGCTGAACAAAAGAGAGAAAAGAATTATGCAAAAAGAGAATAGATTTATGGAACTCCATGACTCCATCAAACATAACAACATTCATTGTAGAGGAGTCCCAGAAGAAAAAGAAAGAAAAAAAAGGGACAGAACATTTATTTGAAGAATTAATAGCAGAAAACTTCCCTAATCTGGGGGGGGGAGGAAACAGATATCCATATCCAGGAGGCACACGGAACCCCCAAGAAAATAAACAAAAGCTAACCCACAGAAACATATATATTGTAATTAGATTGGCAAAACATAGGGGTATAGAAAAAAATTTTAAAGCAGCAAGACAAAAAAAAAAAAAAAAAAAAAAGTGCCATACAAGGGAAAACCCATAAGGCTCCTAGGGCATTTTTCAGCAGAAGCTGAAATAATAACGGGGACAATCCAACAAAAAGATATAATGATTGTAAATGTTTATGCACCCAACATGTAAGCTCCCCTATACATAAAAGTTAATAACAAATAGAAAAGAACTAAACATTCATAATAAATGATAGTAGAGGATTTTCACACTTCAGTTACATAAATGGACAAGATCATTTAAACAGATAATCAACAAGGAAACAACAGCTCTGAATGACACACTGGAACAGATGGATTTAACAGATATTTTGAGAACACTGCATCCTAAAACAGCAGAATACACATGCTTTTCAAGTGTATGTGGAACATTCTCCAGAATGGGACACATATTAGGACATAAAACAAGCCCCAACAAATTCAAAAAGGTCAAAGTGATACCATGCATCTTTTCTGAACACACTACTATGTAACTAGAAGTCAACCACAAGAAAAAGTCTGAAAAGAGCATAAATATATGAAAGTGAAGTAACATGCTAATAAACAATGAATGGGTCAACCAGAAAATAAAAGGAAATTCAAAAAACCACATGGAAACAAGTGAAAATGAAAACACCACAATTAAAAACCTTTGGGATGCAGCCAAACTGGTTCTAAGAGGGAAGTTTGTAGCAATACAAGTCTGCTTCAAGAAGCAAGAAAAGAATCAAATAAACAATTTCACTTGACACCTGAAGAAGCTAGAAAAGCAACCACAAACAAAAGCTAAGAAAAAAAAAACAGAAGGAAAAAAATAATAAGGATTAGAACAGAAATAAATGGGGGTGCCTGGGTGGCTCAGTCGGTTAAGCATCTGACTGTGAGTCAGGTCATGATCTCACGGTTTGTGAGTTCAAGCTCCATGTCAGGCTCTGTGCTGACAACTCAGAGCATGGAGCCTGCTTTGGATTCTGTGTCTCCCTCTCTCTCTGTCCCTCCCCTGCTCACACTCTGTCTCTCTCTCAAAAATGAATTAACTTTAAAATTTTTTAAATCAAAGAAAGAAATGTCATAGAAACTAGAAAAACAATAGAGCAGATCAAAGAAACCAGGAACTGGTTCTTTGAAAAAATTAATAAGTGATAAACTGCCAGCCATACTATCAAGAAGAAAAGATAAAGGACCCAAATAAGTAAATCACAAGAGAGGAGAAATAACAACCAACACCACAGAAATTCAAACAATTATACGAGAATATCATGGAAAACTGTATGCCACAAAGTCAGTAATCTGGAGGAAATGGATAAATTCCTATAAACATAAACCTACCAAAACTGAAACGGGAACAAATAAAAAAATGAACAGACCAATTAACAGAAAAAAAAAAAAAAGGAATCAGTAATCAAACACCTCCCAACAAACAAAAGTCCAAGACCAGATGAGTTCACAAGTGAATTCTACCAAACATTTAAAGAAGAGTTAATACGTATTCTTCTCAAACTATTCCACACTTGATCTTAGCCAGAAGTCCGAGAAGCAATCTTCTTAAACTATTCCAAAAAGATAGAAAAAGAAGGAAAACTCCAAATTCATTCTATGAGGCAGCACTACCCTGATACCAAAACCAGATAAAGAAACAAGAAAAGGGAACTGTAGGTAAATATTTCTGATGAATATAGATGCAAAAATCCATAACAGATACTAGCAAACCAAATCTAACAAAACATTAAAAAATTATTCACCACATCAGTCTTATGCACGGTGATTTATTCCTGGAGTCCAAGGATGGTTCAATATTAACAAACCAATCAATGTGATATATCACATCAATCAAACCACATCAATAAAAAAAAAGGATAAGAACCATATGATCATTTCAACAGATGCCAAAAAAGCATTTGGCAAAATATAACATCAATTCATAATAAAAGCTCTCAACAAAGTAAGTTTTGAGGGGACATACCTCAACATAAAAAAAGGCCATACATGAAAAACACACAACTAACATCATCCTTAAAGGGGAAAAACAGCTTTTCCCCTAAGGAACAAGACAAGGATGTCTACTCTACCAGTTTTATTTGAGATAGTACTGGAAGTCTGAGCCACTGCAATCAGACAACAAAAAGAAATAAAAGGCATCCAAATCAGTAAGGAAGAGGTAAACCTTTTACTATTTACAGATGACATAATATTCTATATAGAAAACCCAAAAGATTCCACTGAAACCTGCTAGAACTAGAATGAATTCAGAAAAGCTGTAGGATACAAAATCAATGTATAGAAATTTGATCCCTTTCTATATATTAATAATGAAACAGCAGAAAGAGAAATTAAGAAAACAACCCATTTACTATTGCACTAAAAATAATAAAATACCTAAGAATAAACCTAATCAGAGAGGTGAAAGATCTGTACTCTGAAACTATAAAACCCTGATGAAAAAGAAATGGAAGATGACACAAAGAAATGGAAAGACATCCATGTTCATGGACTAGAAGAGCAAATATTGTTAAAATGTCTACACAACCCAAAGCAATCTACACACTCAATGCAATCCCCATCAAAATACCAACATTTTTTACAGACCTAGAACAAACAATCCTAAAGTTTGTATGGAACTACAAAAGAACCTGAATAGTCAAATCAGTCTTGAAAGAGAAAAGCAAAGCTGGAAGCATCACAATTCCAGACTTCAAGTTATATTACAAAGCTATAGTGATCAAGACAGTAAGGTACTGGCACAAAAATAGACACTTGGACAAATGAAACTGAATAGAAAACCCAGAAATAAACCCATAATTATATACTGAATTAATCTTCAACAAAGCAGGAACAAATATCCAGTGGGAAAAAGACAATGTGTTCAACAAATGGTACTGGGAAAACTACACAGCAACATGCACAAAATGAAACTGAACCACTTTGTTGCACCATACACAAAAATAAATTCAAGGTGGATTAAAGACCTAAATGTGAGACCTGAAACTATAAAAGTCCTGGAAGAGAGAGAGCAGAAGCAGTAACTTCTCTGAAATCAGCCACAAACTTTCTAGACAGATCCCCTGAGGCAAGGAAAATAAAAGCAAGAATAAATAAATAAAAATAAAATAAAAAATTATTAGAACTACATTAAAATAAAAAACTTCTGCACAGCAAAGGAAACAGTCAATAAAACTGAAAGGCAACCTGTGGAATGGGAGATGTTATTTACAGATGGCATGTCTGGTAAAGAGTAGTGTCCAAAATATGTAAAGAACTTATAAAACTCGACACCAAAAACCAAATAATCCAACTAAAAAAATGAATGGGAGACATGAACAGACATTTCTCCAAAGAAGACATACAAAGGACAATAGGCACATGAAGAGATACTCATCATCACTTATCATCAGGGAAATGCAATCAAAACAACAATAAGATATCACCTCACCCTTGACAGAATGGCTAAAATCAACAACACAAGAAACAACAGATGTTGGTGAGGATGTGGCGCAAGGGGTACCCTCTTGCAATGTTGGGAATGCAAACTGGTGCAGCCACTCTGGAAAACAGTATGGAAGTTCCTCAAAAAGAAAAATAGATTTGCTGTATGATCCAGCAATCATACTTCTGGGTATTTACCCAAAGAATACAAAAAAACACTAATTCAAAGGGATATATGCACACCTATGTTTATATCAGCTTTCTTTCCAATAACCAAGATATGGAAGTAGCCAAGTATCTATTGATTGATGAATGAATAAAGACGAGTGGTGTGTGTGTGTGCGTGTGTGTATACATACAGAGAGAGAGAGACTATTATTCAGCCATGAAAAAGAATGAAATCTTGCCATTTGCAACAATATGTATGGAGTTGGACAGTATAATGCCAAGTGAAATGAGTCAGTCAGTGAAAGACAAATACCATATGATTTCAGTCATATGTGGGATTTAAGACAAATGACAAATTGGGAAATGTGAGAGTGAGATAAACCAAAACAAACAAACGAACAAACAAACAAAAAAACCAAAACCAAAACAAACAAACAAAAAGACTCAACTATAGAGAACAAAGTGATAGTTACCAGAGGGGAGAAAGGTGGCACAGGGAACAGGTGAAATAGTGATGTCATTATGACCACTGGGTGAGGTATGGATTGTTGAATCACTATATTATACACCTGAAAATAATATAACACTGTATGTCGACAAAAATATAAACACAAAATACATACATACATGAAGTCAATCTAGAAAAAAATAGAGTGACACCAGCTAGATGTCAGAACACAAGTTTCAGTTCTTCCTGGCCAAGATCACAGTTTTGACAATCACCACGGAAAGAACATTTTTGTGGGAGTCTGGGAATCTAGCAGAAGTTTTTGCACACTTTGACAGCAAAAAGATCCAAGAGTGGGTGCACTGAAGAGGATGAATGGAACATTTTTTTTCTTATCTGAGTCACTCCTCCCTGAAAGGGGTACAGTTCAGTGCCAAGAGAGACCCATTCAGCCTGCAATTTCTCCACAGGGGGAAAGTGTGTGAGTGACCATCTGGCTTCTTCAACTGCATGGGTCACTGACCAAAAGGCCCATTTCTTTCTAACTACATCTAGAATACTGAAGTGATCTTCATGAGTGAAGGGAATGAGAAAAGTTTGGACCACAACAGTCAGGGCTCAGAATTCCTCAAGGGACAAAGACTCTACTAACCACTTTGCAGACTACAGTCAGTAGCCTACCCATTAGCCACTGGGATGACTTGGGTTCAGATCTTGCTCACCTGGTGGCATCCCCCAACATTCTGCATACCTGCTATCCACTGGCCAGCTCCTTTTGTATATTCCCCAAAGGTAGTGAGTGCAGGAGTTTTCAAATGGCTAGTGAACATACTTAGAAATTCAAACTGACTCCACAGATAGAGTAAAAAGAATGTACTTGACCATTCAGCATTACCTCCAGGAAATCAAACAGAAAGCTGTCAGGACCCTGACTAACTCTGCAGGATTGAAAAAAGGCATACCATCCAAAAATTCCCTCTTAAATCGTAGTAAGACATACTGGAAAAATGTATCCATTAAAAACATCTTCAAAAAGCCTCAGAATCCCTAACAAGTATGACAGAAAGTATTTCTCCGCCAACGTCAGGAAAGACCAGAGGAAGTGAGACCTTCTTCAAAGGCAAAGGCAACAATGCAAGACTTTAAGAAACATGAAAAATCAAGGAAATATGACATCACCAAAGAAACACAACACTTTTCCAGTAACTTACCCTAAATAATGAAGATTTATGATTTTCCTGATAAAGAATTGAAAACGGTAGCTTTGAGGAAGCTCAGTGAGCTATAAGAAGACACAGAAAGAAAATCCAAAGAAATCAGGAAAATGAGGTAGAAATTATAAAAAGAACCACACAGAAATTCTATAACTGAAGAATATAATGAATGAAAGGAAAAATACAACAAAGAGTATCAACATCAGATCTTATCAATCAGAAGAAAGAATCTATGAAGTAGAAGAGAGGTCATTTGAAGTCTTGTAGTCAGAGGAGAAAAAAGGAGAAGGAATTCCAGAGAAAGCCTATGTGAATTATAGGAGACTATCAGAGGAGACATTGTAGGCATTATGTGAGTCCCAAAAGGAGAAGAGAGAGAAAGGGACAGGAAGTTTACTTAAGGAAATAATGGCTGTGAATTTATCAATCTGGGAAGAGATACGGACTATCAAAATCAAGAAGCTCATTAATTCCCCCAAACAGATTCAACCCAAGGAAATCATCTCTAAGACACATTACAATAAAACTGGCTAAAACCAAAGAAAAATAATTTTGAAAGCAGCAAGAGAGAAATAAATACCTCACATACAAAGGCAGTTCTATGAGAGGTCTTTATAGTGATAAATGCCTACAGTAAGAAAAAGAAATGATCTCAAATATACAACCTAACTTCATACATCCAAAAACTAAAAAGAAGAGGTCACTTGGGTAGCTCAGTTGGGTGAGCATCCAACTCCTGATTTGGGGTCAGATCATAATCCCAGGGTCACGGGCTTGAGCTCTATATTGGGCTCTGCACTTGAGTGTGGAGCCTACTTAAGATTCTCTCTCTCCTTCTGCCCCTCCCTGACTCATGCTCTATCTCTCTCTCTGTCTCTCTCTGTCTCTCTCTCTCTCTCTCAAATAAAATGAAAAAAAAAAAACGTATTAAAAAACAGTAGAACAACCAAGCCTATAATTAACAAGCTGGGAAATAACAGAAATCAGAGCAAAAATATATGAAATAAAGACCAAAAAAATAAACATTAATACCTATTTTTTTCAAAACAGAAACAAACTTGATAAGCCTAAGTTGACTAAGAAAAAAGAGAGATCAAATAAATAACATGAGAAATGAAATTGGAGACATTCAACTGATGCCACAGAAATGCAGATGTTCATAAGAGACAACCATAAACATTTACACACCAACAAATTGGATAACCTAAATAAATTGATAAATCCCTGGAAATAGAAAACTTACAAGACAAAATCATCAAGAATAGAAAATCTGAACAAACCAAACCAGTAACAAGGAACAAGAGTGAATCATTAATTTAAAATATCTCTGCAGGGGCACCTGGGTGGCTCAGTCGGTTGAGTGTCCGACTTCAGCTCAGGTCACGATCTCGCGGTCCGTGAGTTCGAGCCCCACGTCGGGCTCTGTGCTGATGGCTCGGAGCCTGGAGCCTGCTTCCGATTCTGTGTCTCCCTCTCTCTCTGTCCCTCCCCCGTTCATGCTCTGTCTCTCTCTGTCTCAAAAATAAATAAACATTAAAAAAAAACAACCTGATATTAAAATAAATAAATAAATACATACATACATACATACATACATACATACATAAATAAGAAAGAATAAAATATCTCTGCAAAGAAAAGTCTGGGAACAGAAATTTTCATTGGTAATTTAAAGAAGAATTAATACCAGTTCTTCTCAAACCATTCCAAAAACTTGAAAGGAGGGAGGAGGCACTTCCAAAACTACTTTACAAGGTCAGCATTACTTTAATACCAAAGAACACTACAAAAAAAATTATAGCCCAGCATCACTGATAATCATAAATATTGAAATAACAAAATGTTAGCAAAGTGAATTCAACAACACATTAAAAGATTCATACACCATGATGAAGCCGGGTATATCTATGGGACTTAAGGATGGTTCATCAGACACAAATCAGTAATGTGATATAGCTCATTAACAATAAGAAGGATAAAAATCATATAATCAGATAGACACCAACAAAAAAAGCATTTGACATAATTCAACATCCATTTATGATGAAAACTCTCAACAATTAGGTATTGAAGAAATGTACATCAAACATAATAAAGACTATAAATAAGGAGCCCATAACTAACATCATATTTGATAATGAAAAGCTGAAAGCTTTTCCTGAAGGATCAGGAAAAAGACAAAGATACACACTTTCACCACCTCAGTGAAATAAAAAATAAAGAAGTAAAATATCTGTTTGTAGATGACATATTATAGAGAGAAAACCCTAAAGACTCCACCAAAAAAAAAAAATGTAGAATTAATAAATGAATTCAGTAAAGTTGCAGGATACATAGTCAATATACAAAAATCTGTTGTATTTTTGTACACTAATAATGAATTATCACAAAGAGAAATTTTAAAAATAATCCCATCTACAATAGCATGAAAAACAATAAAATACCTAGGAATAAATCCATCCACGGAAGTAAAATATTTGTATGGTGAAAACTGTAAGACAATTGTGAAATAAACTGAAGAAGACATAAATAAATCACAAGATAGTCTGTGTTCATGGATTAGAAGAATTAATGTTGTTAAAATGTGCATACTACCCAAAGCAATCCATTGATACAATTCCTATCAAGATCCCACTGACATTTCCCATTGAAATAATATAAACAATCCTAAAATTTATGTGGAACCAAAAAGACTCCCAAATAACCAAAGCAATCTTGAGAAGGAAGAACAAAGCTGAACGCATCATGCTCCGTGATTTCAAACTATATTATAAAGTGATAAAAATGAAAACAATATCCTATTGGCAGATCAATGGAACAGAGTCAGGAGCCAGAAATAAACTCACACATACATAGTTAATTAAAATTTGACAAGGGAGCCAAGAAAACACAATGAGGAAAGTAATGTCTTCAGTAAATGGTATTGGAAAAGCTGGATATCCATAAGCCAAAAAATGAAACCACTATGTTAAACCACTGATGAAAATTAACTCTTAGACAAATTAAAGACTTAAATAAATTATATCAAATTCACGCAAAAGCTTCTATTCAGCAAATCAACAAAATGAAAAGGCAACATACAGAATGAGAGATAATATTTGCAAGCCATAGATCTGATAAGGGAGATATACATAGATACACACACACACACACACACACACACACACACACACACACACTTTGTATGTATTTTACATAGATTATACGTATATATTCTACAACTTATACAACTTAATAGCAAAATATCCAATCCAATTAAAAATGGACAAAGATCTCAGTAGACATTATTCTGAAGAATACATACAATTGGCCAATTGGTACTCAAAATCACTAATCATCAGGCATATGAAAATGAAAACCACAATGAAATATTGCCTTATACCTGGTAAAATGTCTTTTATCAAAAAGACAAGACAGGGGCGCCTGGGTGGCGCAGTCGGTTAAGCGTCCGACTTCAGCCAGGTCACGATCTCGCGGTCCGTGAGTTCGAGCCCCGCATCTGGCTCTGGGCTGATGGCTCGGAGCCTGGAGCCTGTTTCCGATTCTGTGTCTCCCTCTCTCTCTGCCCCTCCCCCGTTCATGCTCTGTCTCTCTCTGTCCCAAAAATAAATAAAAAACATTGAAAAAAAAATTTAAAAAAAAAAAGACAAGACATAACAAGTGTTGGTGAGAATGTGGAGTAAAGGGAACACTTGTATACTTTGGGTGATAATGTAATTTGTTATAGGCATATGGAAAACAGTACATGAAAAAAGTTAAAAGAACTACCGTATGATCCAGCCATTCCATTTCTGGGTATTTATCTGAAAGAAATGAAATCAGCATCTTGAAGAAATATCTGCATCCTCAATTTCATTATAGCTTTATCATAATAGCCAACTTACAGAACAACCTAAGTGTCCACTGATGGATGAATGACATGATATGTACAATGGAATATTATTCAACCATGAGAAAAAAAAAAAGTCTTGCTATTCACAACAATATGGTTGACCCTAGAGAACAATATATTAAGTATAATAAGCCAGAGGTTGAAAATACTTCTTGATAAAACTAATGTATGAAATCAAAAAAGAAAACATCAAATTCATAGAGGCAGAGAGTAGAATGGTAGTTACCAGTGGTGGGTGCAGATGGGGGAAATGAGGAGATGCTGTTCCAAGGGTGTAAGCCTTCATAAGATAAAAAAAATTCTTGGGGCGCCTGGGTGGTGCAGTCGGTTAAGCGTCCGACTTCAGCCAGGTCACGATCTCGTGGTCCGTGAGTTCGAGCCCCGCGTCAGGCTCTGGGCTGATGGCTCGGAGCCTGGAGCCTGTTTCCGATTCTGTGTCTCCCTCTCTCTCTGCCCCTCCCCCGTTCATGCTCTGTCTCTCTCTGTCCCAAAAATAAATAAACATTGAAAAAAAAAATTAAAAAAAAAATTAATTAATTTAAAAAAATGTTGAAAGAAAAAAAAATCCTGGAGATTTAGTGTACAGTGTGGTGACTACAGTTAGTAATAATGTATTGTGTAGTTGAAATTTGCTGAGAATAGATCTTAAGCATTCCAGCTTAATAAAAAAAATTAATTATGTGAGGTGATTAATGTGTTAATTAACCTGATTTTGACAATTATTTCCAAATGTATCTGTGGGCCAAGTCATCTCACTTTATACTTTATATATATACAGTTTTGTCAACTATACTCCCAATAAAGTAAGGAGGGAAACATATAATAGACAAACAAAAGATAAGGAGATAAGGATCAAACTAAACAAGTATAAACCTTAATCAAATAACAAAGGAAGTCATTAAAAGAGAAAGATATTTAAAAAACAACTACAAAATAGAAGACAGCCACATGTCAATAGTAAGTGTTCACCTATCAATAATTTCTTTAAATATAAATTATTTAAATTTACCTATTAAAAGAAATAAAATACCTGAATGACTTAAAATAATGAAGAACTCGCTTTCAACTTAAAGACACAATAGGCTTTATTTTTGTGTATGTTGTAAGAAAGTGGTCCAGTTTCATTCTTCTTCATGTCGCTGTCCAGTTCTCCCAGCACCATTTGCTAAAGAGACTGTCTTCTTTCTATCGGATACTCTTTCCTGCTCTGTCAAAGGTTAGTTGGCCATACATTTGTGGGTCCATTGCTGGGTTCTGTATTCTATTCCATTGACCTAAATGTCTCTTTTTGTGCCAATACCATACAAGTCTTGATGATTACGACTTTGTAGTAGATGCTACAGTCCAGGATTTTGATGCCTCCTGCTTTGTTTTCTTTTTCAACATTACTTTGGCTAATCGGAGTCTTTTGTGGATCCATACAAATTTTAGGATTGTTTGTTCTTGCTCTGAGAAGAATGCTGGTGCAATTTTGATTGTAATTGCACTGAATGTGCAGATTGCTTTGGGTAGTATTCATGTTTTAACAATATTTGTTCTTCCAGTCCATGAGCATGGAATATTTTTCCATTTCTTTGTGTCTTCTCCACATTTCTTTCTTTCATGAGTTTTCTACAGTTTTCTTTCATGAGTTTTCTATAGTTTTCAGCATACAGATCTTTTACATCTTTGGTTAGGTTTTTTCCTAGGTTATTTTATAGTTCTCAGTACAGTTGTAAATGGGATCGATTTCTTGATTTCTCTTTCTGTTGCTTCATTATTGGTATATAGAAATGCAACTGATTTCTGTACATTGATATGTATCCTGTGAGTTTGCTGAATTCCTGTGTCAGTAATAGCAGCTTTTTGGTGGAGTCTTTCAGGTTTTCCATGTAGAGTATCATGTCATCTGCAAAAAGTGAAAGTTTGACTTCTTCTTTGTCAATTTGAATGCCTTTTATTTCATTTTGTTGTCTGATTGCTAAGACTAGGACTTCCAACACTATGTTAAACAATAGCGGTGAGAGTGGACAACCCTGATGTGTTCCTGATTACACAAAAATAAACTCAAGTGGATGAAAGGCCTAAATGTGAGACAGGAGACCATCAAAACGCTAGAGGAGAAAACAGGCAACAACCTCTTTGACCCCAGCCACAGCAACTTCTTACTTGACACGTCTCCGAAGGCAAGGTAAATAAAAGCAAAAATGAACTAGTAGGACTTCATCAAGATAAAAAGCTTCTGCATTGCAAAGGAAATAATCAACAAAACTAAAAGGCACCTGACAGAATGGGAGAAGATATTTGCAAATGACATATTGGATAAAGGGTTAGTATCCAAAATCTATAAAGAACTTATAAACTCAACACCTGAAAAATAAATAATCCAGTGGAGAAATGGGCAGAAGACATGAATAGACACTTTTCCAAAGGAGACATCCAGATGGCCAACAGACACATGAAAAGATGTTCAACATCA